ACACACACACACACACACACACACACACACACACACACACACACACACACCATGTACCAGAGGTTCTAAGCAGCACATTTTTTCTATAATCAAGAGCATCTCAGATTGCCTGAAGCACAGGGGGTAAAAAGCATCTGAAATACCCAGCACCATATCTGGCATAGTAATTGTGAATGACTGTCATTATAATGATCATGATTCCTAAGCTGGCCAGGCCACTTATCAAATCACAGCCAATTCTGACCTGTATGGTGTTGGGAGGCTGAGTGGGGGAAAGGAGAAATTGCATTTTCTTGCCCCGATGCTGTACCCGGAACTATGCAAGTTACTAGACACCAGGGCCTTGTTTCACTTTTTCCTTAACCGGGTGGGCTTAAAACTCTTGCTAGGGCCATTGTACACAAGGGGACACTGAGGCTCGGAAGGGGAGGGTGTGGCACATGTGTGGGTGGTGAGTGGTTTGGCTGGGCTTTGCCCCAGGAGGGTCTTGCTGGCAGGCCACATGCCGGTACTGTGTACCCCAATAAGCCCACCCCCTGCACCTGGCCAGGGACGCCTGCAGCTCCTCCTCCTTGCGACCCAGCTGGGCTCGCAGCTCCTCCACCCGCTGCTGCTGCTCCACCATCTGCTCCTGCAGCTCCGAGCTCTCCCCGTCCAGTCGCCGCTTCAGCTTCTCCAGCTCCTGGCGGTTCTTCTCCTCCTTCCGTAGGCGGTCTGGAGGTGGGGGGAAGGGGCCATGTGTGAGGGCTCCACACCCACACGCCTGGCAGCTCCCACGGAGACCCACAGCCCCAGCACATGCAGGGTATAAGGCTCAGCATCTCCCTGCACGCCTCCTCCTCTTTCCAGCCTCCCCATCTCCGGGAGCACCCCAGTGTCCCCCCGACGCCAAGCCAGACCCCAGACACTGTCCTCTCCTCCTGGCCTCCAGTGACAGCCCCTGCCCCTGCTCACTGTTTCTGCCCTGTCTTCTCCTCCCTGTCTCCCCAGCCTCCTCCTGCAAGCGCTTCATTCTGCTTCTGATTCCGAGTCCATAGCAAGGGACAGAGAGACAATAAAAGTGTCTGAAAAAGTGGGTGGGGCAGTCAGAGAGAGAGAGAGAGAGACCCAAGACACCAAGGAGAGAGCAATAAAATGGGATTGAGAGAAACAGAAACTACGTCAGAGCTGGGAGGACACCCACTCTGTCCCAAGCCTTCTTTCCTGCTCCCATTTAGCGGATATGACCATTAAGGCCCCGTGGCACTGGAGGCTCCCCGAGGAGAGGCCCCCCCATGGCTCCCCACTGGGGGCAGGCACTCACCCTCCATGTCTCCAATCATGGCCTCATATTTTAGTCGGAGCTTATTGAGGCTCTTGACCTTTTCCTCCTCCTCAGCGGCCTGGGATGAGAACTCGGCCAGACGCTCCTCCAGCAGCCTCCGTTCCTGAGGGTGGTGGGAGAAGGGGGGCCGTCAGGAGCCTCACCCCCACCCGACCCTCGTCTTCGGTGTCATTCTCATTTGCCTTTCTGCTCATCTCCATCCTTCTCTGACCCTTCTCCTGCTCCCAAGCCCTTTATCCCT